CTGGACAAGGAAGTGAGGAAACATATAAGGTCAGAATGCCCTCCCCCGATCCTACCAGACAAGGTAGCGCATAACCCCGAATTTGATACTCTAATGACGACATTCATGTCCCGTGGGGGTCGGGACCCACGCAAGTGCGTGGAACGCCGCTTTAACCCCTTAAGGACCAAACTTCTGGAATAAAAGGGAATCATGACATGTCAGACATGTCATGTGTCCTTAAGGGCTTAAAGGAGCCCAAGACAAACTGCTAGACACCGTCGGGCAACTAGCAAGGATCATGGACATGGCAGATGACGCCTATGAGAGGGCTGACAACTTTACCCCAGATACGGTGCATGAGTGGGCACGAGATACCCGAGAGTGGGCACAGAGGTGCTTTTGCTTCCTCGGGAACACTAACGTGGCCCTCTCTTCGGAGAGTCGCCGAGCAGCACTTTTCCGTATTGACGACAACTTGTCGAACTGGGGGATAAGGAATTGGGCCCCTTGGCACAGGGCAAGCTGTTTGGAGAGGTCTTCCTTACTGAGCTAAATAAAAGGGGTAAATATTTTTACGTCCCTCAACAAGGCGCAAACATCAATGCGAAAAGTATTTTGCGGCTCTAACACCTGAGGTGTTTTTGGGAGGGCTGGTCAGCAGAGGGGCCGTGCCACCAGCCGCTTCTGGCCATCCGGCCCACGCACAACCAGGGCACAGCCATTCTACCCGGATTTGTCTACCCGACATCAATTCCACCAGTTCAGGGGATCGGATCATGGCCGTGGCGGCCGAGGACGCTACCGGGCGAGATTCTCTAACGGTAAGTCACCATACTCATGGATACCCTACCTCTAACCTCTTGCCATATCGCAGGTCGTGTTTCTCTTTTTTTCCAGAATTGGGCAGACCTATCCTCAGACACATGGATACACCGGACGGTGCGGGGCTATCAAATAGAATTCGAGACGACCCCGCTCCAACGGGCTCCGCCATGCCCGATCCAACTTACGCGGGCGGATGCCTGTTTAATAGACTCAGAACTGCAAGACTTACATTCCAAGGGTGCCATCCAAACAGCCCGGACTCAATTGGGTTCTACAGCAATATCTTCCTGGTCAGGAAGAAAACTGGTGAATTCCGCCCCGTCATCAACCTCAGGGAACTCAATTCCCACGTGGTGTACTGCTATTTCAAAATGGAGGTATCCACCTTCTCCGGGATCTGCTTCGAGACAACGCCTGGTTTACGCATCTAGACCTCAAGGACGCATACCTTACCATCCCGGTGCACGCTTCTACTGGCACGGGACACCTTGGCAATTCACCTGCCTCCCGTTCGGCCTCAGTTCGGCCCTGTGGTGTTTCACCAAGGTGATGAAGCCAGAAATGGCGAAACTCAGGGCCCACGGAATAAGATGCATCATTTACCTTGACGACATTTTGATCTTCAACGAGGATGCAGGGACCCTAAGGAGACACACAGACTACACAGTACACCTACTCGAGTCACTAGGCTTCGTTATAAACCGCCCCAAGTCTTCAATGATCCCGGCTCAGTCGGTCCAATTCCTCGGATTCAAGATAGACTCCACATCGTGCACTCCACGCCTCCCGGCCGCAAATATTGCCTCCATCCGCAGAGAAATTCAGAAAGTCCTTCGACTGACATCCATACTGCGACTACTGGCATGGATCGTGGGCCTTCTCTCATCATCCATCCAGGCCATTTTTCACAGACCCCTGCATTACAGGGCCATGCAACGCCTCAAGGCCAAATTCCTTTGCAGAAACCCAACCTACGACCAACCGGTCCCTATGTCGGATGAGGTTCGGGAGGAATTGCACTGGTGGCTAAACTGCATGCAGGCCTGGAACGGCCGGGCCATATTCGGAAACCAGCCAGACTTCGTGCTGGAATCAGATGCCAGCCGCTCAGGCTGGGGAGCAACAGACAGAACCTCCTCCACGGGAGGAGTATGGACCTCCCAAGAACTCTCGATGCACATCAACTGTCTGGAGCTCCTGGCAGGTTCATTCACCTGGCGAAGGAACAATCCAACTGCTGCATCTTGCTCCGGATGGACAATGTCTCGGCGGTAAGATACATCAACCGCCTCGGAGGCACACGTTCCCAATCACTAGTAGAACTCATGAAGGAGATATTCGATTATTGCCTACCACGCAACATCACGCTGCTAGCACAACATCTACCGGGAGAATCCAACATGACAGCAGATTGGTACTCATGCCACTGGCGAGACGCCAGCGACTGGCAACTAGATCCTCATATTTTTGCGATACTGCATGCGCAGAGGGGTCCCTTCTCCCTAGATTTATTCGCTTCCCGCAACAACCGACAGATGAAGGACTTCTTCAGCTGGCTCCCAGACCCGGAGAGCCTAGCTACAGACGCCTTTCTGCAACAATGGCCACAATGCGGAGCTTACACATTCCCACAGTTCTCAATGATTACGAGAGTCTTTCACCGGATCCGCATACAGAGGGTGATGCTGACCCTCATCACCCCACTATGGCAGAGCCAACCATGGTTTCCGGACCTTCTGGAACTGTTGAACAGGGATCCCCTCCTCCTACCCATCCTCAGGAACCCGATGGGACTATCCCACCCGCTGGTCAGGGAGGAACGGCTTCCTCTGGTGGCCTGGACTCTTTCTGGGGTTCCTGGCGAACCGAGGACTTATCGCAGGAAACTAGGGATCTCCTATGGGATTCATGGGCACCAGGAACAAGGAGGTGCTATTTATCAGCATGGCACTGCTGGACAAATTGGTGTCTGGGACGGGATCTCAATCCCTTTACTGCACCTATTCCCTCCATCATGAATTTCCTCACCTCCCTATTCACAGCCGGAAAATCATACCAGCGGCCCATACTCCGACTCAAGGGACACCTGTTGGTCAGGACCCACTCATCT